AAGTAAGTGAACTGGGTCTATAGCTCTGAGACAGTGACATAATGAATGATTTGAGATTTTGCAGCATAGAACTTACAGCAAGTGATGAATTCAAGGAGAGGAAGACCAGTAACCAGGAGAGAATAACATGTGAGAACCAAGAAAGGCATTCCCAGAAGACAGCATTCAACATTTAAGTTCAAATTCATCAGCACATGTAAATAAAAACAATCAAGCAACAGTCAAAGCTTTTCCTGAATTGGGAAGTGAGGTAGACTTGTTGTCTTGGTGAGAATAGTTTCTGTGGACTGGTTAATTATGGTTTGGATTTGAAGTGTTTCCCCAAAAGACTTTGTCCCCAGCTGATGATAGTTGGGATGAATAGATCTTGAGGGTTCTAATTCAGTGGGTTAATTCATTGATGATTTCAGTGTTGAACTACTGGAGAATAGGGCCTAATTTGAGGAAGTCTGTCACTGGGTGGTGGGGGAGTATGCCTTTGAAGAGTATATCTTGTTCTCTGGTTCTTCCCCTCTCTTTCTCTCTGTTTCCTGGCTTCCATGAGGTGGGCAGCTTTCCTTCACCACGAAGGGCCTTACCACAGGGCCAGAAACACAGCTAAGTCACCATGGACTGAAAATGCTGAAACCATAAATCTTTCCTCCTTTAAACTGATTTTCTCAGGTATTTTGGCACAATATTGAAAAGTGACTAACAAATGATAGACATGGAATTTAGCAGGCCATTATAATTCAGTTTTTCTACCTTGAGTGTTAAAGAGAGTAGTGAAAGTGTGTGATGGCATGTGTAGGCATTTCAGAATCAGCACAGAACTGGACCTAACACTTTTGTTTTGAAAATAGAATAGATTTGAGGATATGTATAGACTGAGGTGATAAATCAGTAAAAAAGAGCTTGAGAGGTTGAAGATGTATGAAAGAGAGATACATATGTACAATTAAGCAGAATAAAGCACAAGAGAAATGAGAGCAAAAGGCCTCAGAGAGGAAAGAAATTTCTGCTTTTAGTATAGTGCGAGGACACTATTCCTCCTTGCTTCTGATGTGATTTTTCTAATCATTTATATTTCTTTCCCAATCTGTACCATGCCCAACTTATAAACTGTACCATGCTCCAGTTTATTATATTTACTTGGATGTAGTATCTGTTGAAAGCTCATTTCCTAGTTATACTCTTTAATACCCCCAGCTCTTCCACTAATTTCTTTCTTTTTGTTTTGGGTTTTTTTCCCAGTTGCAGAGGTTTATTTACTTATTTATTTAATTTTTTTTATTGTGGTGGGGGTACATTGTGACATTTACAAAAGTTCTTACAATATATCAAATATATCATACTTTATTTTACCGCCTCCATCACTCCCCATTATCTCCTCTCTCCCCATTCCTGGAATAGTTTCAACAGGTCTCATTTTCCATTTACATACATATATCTACAGTATTTGCACCATATTCACCCTCCTATACCCTTTCCCCACATCCTCCCCCCCTCACTGGTACCAACCCCCCAGACAGGACCTATTCTACCCTCTTGTTCTCTGTCTTCTATTAATTTCAAAAGCAAAAATGCTGAGAAATTTCCTTCCTTTGAGGTTAATATCCTTTTCAACTTGTGGATCTTAAAAACAAAGGCTTTATAAAACTTTATGTTTAAAGTTTTAATCACAAAAATGATGTCTTAATTTAATAATGCAAAAATATAAAGCACCATTTAAAATAACTTTAGGCCTATAAATTTATATTCTAAAACCATATATGCAGTATATAAAACATTGAAGAGAAAATAGACTAATAATTAAGATTATCATGAAAATTCAGTTGGAAATCAAATCTTACCTTCCCTGAACTGGTATTGCATAACTTATCATTCAAATTGAATTAAACAAAGCACTATATAAGACAATGTAGGTGATAAGAAGGAGGAGTGTGATGAGGGTGAGGAGGGAAGAAAGGTATTAACAAGGAAGAATGCAAAAAAGAAAGGTGGTTGGATGATAGAGAAAAAGCAAAATTTAGTATGGAAGAGGAGGAAAAGAATATGGAGGACACAGGAAAGTATGTTGGGGAGAAAACATAAAACAACAATGAAATCTTCCATGACAAATTAAGGTATAGAACAGAAAGTGAGGCAAATTTTACTCAGTTAATAAGGAAACTTCTTTTTTCTGTGTTGTATGAATTTGGTGAGACTTTTCTAGAATAATTTTTTAGTACCTTTAACGTTTTGTTAAAAGTGCTTTTGCATATAACATTGCTTTGTATCTGTATAACACCCTGCAAAATAGATAAAGACATTGTCCTCTTCCTTTTTACATGAAGAAATTAAGGAACAAAATTATTTGTTTATGGTCAAATTTAGAAGTAGAATAAATGGGGGAGAGGGGAAGGGGAGAGAAATGACCTAAATAATGTATGCACATGTGAATAAATGAATAATTAAAAAAAAAAGAAGTAGAATAAAAATTTCTTGACTTGTAATCAGCGCCTAATAAGGGATAATATTTCTTAACCTCAGAGCTGATTTAATGGCGCACTATTTTCAATAAGACTAGTTGCATTTGCTTTTTGAGTATTGTGAGTGCAGATTCCATGCAGTGTATATAGAGATTCAGATTTCTCTTTGGAGTTCTGTCTATACTATGACGTAGCTTACTGGCAGCTTCAAGAAAGGTCAAGGGGAAGGCAGTTGCCATAGGATCACCAGGAAATGAGTTAGAGTATGTGGGTCAAAGGTAGGATAACAACTGTTGCTGTCCTATCTGGGGCAAGTATCTGCCCCACTCAGAATAGCTGATGCTGCTCAGATCATGAGATGTATAAACTTCCCACATCAGAATAAGGAGCCTTGAAATTTTGAACTCTTGCTACTATATTCACATTGAAGCAAAATAATGTAACAATTTAGAAGTTCAAGCTCAGCTCTTTCATCAACTAATTCTATGTCTGTGGGCAAATTGTTTAACTTGCTTTAACTTCTAAGACCTGATTCCCTCATCGATAAAATGGGATAATTAGGAAGGTCAGATGCTGAATATGTGATGCTTAGTATATGATGTTCGAATTAAACACATAATAAAGGTTAACTATTTTATCGTACTTTAAAATATGAGTTTATTACTAATCCAGGAGTATTGTGAAAATTTTAAAAATATTGCTTACTTAAAAAATATTAAATAATCATAAATAATATTGGAGAGGTCTAATGGTACTTGCTAACAAATTAAGAAAATTAAAGAAGATGAGATGTTAAGCTGTCATAATATTGCATATAATATTCTGTGATATAACTAAATACAAATGAAAGACTACATTAAAAAACTTTTGGCTTTGTGGGCTTTGAAGGTCTTTAGGAACATGATGTAAGTAGTTGCAGTGTATTATAATTTACACATACCTGATCTAGGTGGAAAACTTTTAGCTGTATCCTTGAGTATCTATGGGTCTTACACTCTTTATTCCAATAAAGCTATACAGAAGCCAAGTATAACTTGAACAGCTTTTGTTCTCCTAAAAATATTGAAATTTACTTAAGTCATTTTTGTCTTTATTATCTTCTTTGTACTTCTTGCTTATTGTAGAAATTTAATAAGAAGGGAAGTAATAGAGTTTTTCTCCACTTAATAAGAAAGGAAATAAATAAGGCATTAAAGGAAAATGTGGCAATACTCAATCTTTCATGTTTTTCATCTCTGAATGTAATCTTATTTTACTGAGTTGTGAACTTACCTTGTGTTGTAAGGCCTACAGAATGTTTTCTCCTATCCAAAGAGAGAGAGATTCTGATCGATTCTAATTGAGTTTCCTAAGGTCAAAACAAAAGTTCAGGTTCAATTTACCAATTTTATTGTCCTGATATTTACCTGTGCCTGGCTTAAAAATATGTATGATTTTAAGCTTCTATGAAATCTAATTATAGTACTGATGATATTATTAATAGTATGCTTATAATATGGCAGACACTGTGCTTTTGGTATATAATTTAATCTTCTCAAAAATCCCATTATATGGTGGAGGAAATTGTGTTTCTGATCAGTTTAAACTTACTCAAGGTAATCAGCAGGACTGGCTTCTTTTCTAGATATGACCAGTTCTAACACCTATGCTCTTGACCACATGGCTTCATCTGTCTTCCAATTATATAGAGTTGGAAATGTGGAATAAAAAACTTTTATAGATTATTCTAGTTGTTTTTATTTATGACCAATGCTTTTGGACATTTGCTTTCCTGGTTTTTAAAGTACCTGCTAATGCTCATTATTAATGATAAATGGCAGGATGATGAGAGCCTGATGCTTTGTAAAGAGTATAATTTTTTGAATAGAAGATAAAAAAAGGAGTTAGAATGAATTATTTTGTTTTCTAAATCAATAACCTATTTTTGTAATTACAGGAGAAAACAAGAGGAGATTTTAAGAAAATATATTTGCTTGACCAATGTAATTTATTGGCTAGGGTATTGGATTGTGAGTTGGACAGCAACACTATCTTGGGAAAAAAAAGAACCATTTTATTTTTAATGATTAAATTAGGATACTATTTACTGTTTCTCTCCTTCATAGAAAAATTGGGAAGAAGTATTATAATTTTTTCAATTAGTATAAGTCATATAAACAGACAATTGTAAGAATAAATGATTTTTTTGCAAGGCCCTCACCTAGGTTCAATTCCTAGCATCACACAAAAAATTATTTTTAAAAATTATTTTATTCTTTTAGGAAAATATTACTCAGTATTTCTGAAAGATGGCTAGGTGGTATCTGATTTTACATGAGAACCCTTGCCCAAATTTAAATCTTTCAAAGTAATACAGTCCTGAAAAGGAAAAATTTTGTATAGAGAATTTTGTATAGAAATTCTGATTTTGCATGAGAACCCTTGCCCAAATTTAAATCTTTCAAAGTAATACAGTCCTGAAAAGGAAAAATTATGTCTTATACTTTTAGAATTGTGTTTTTTCATATTGGGGTTATATGATTTTTAAAGTTACAATAATTACTTTTTCAGTGTATTTTGGGATCTCTACTGTGCGGCTCCAGAGAGACGAGAAACATGTGAACACTCGAGTGAAGCAAAAGCCTTTCATGATTATGTAAGTGAACATGTGCTTTTATAAAGTTATAGTGTCAATTTTCCTTTTAGTCACTACTCCTGAAAAATGCATTGGGTCATCTGTTCTTTTGCTTTGGTACTTAAAAAATTCTTTCTTTTTTTTTTCCTTGAAAAATAAACTCATAATTTAAAAGTGCAATACAAAGAGGTAGTTAAGGCTCATTAAAGCTTAGAGAGTGGGCATAACTCCAAGCTATTAAAGGTATTATCATTAAACATGTCTGATTTGGAAATTTCAGATTTATAAAAATGAAACAGTAATTATGTTTTCCAGAGGTTTGTTGTAAGATTTCTGAGAATGATAAAGCTCCTTTTTGCATATAAGATTAAAAAAAATGGAAATAGTCTGTTCTCTTTTTACAACTTTGGGTTATATATCATGACTAAATACCCACTCCACTGAATTCAGTTCCCCCAATAAAATTTATTATTGATTAAAGGAAATGTCATACAAGAGGATAGAAAATTCTCGCCAAAAATAAATGTGATTTTTAAAAATATTATTAAGGTAGCTGGGCATGGTGGCTCATGCCTGTAATCCTAGCTACTTTGGAGGCAGAGATCAGGAGGATCAGGGTTTCTAGGCTAGCCTGGGCAAAAAGTTAGTGAGACCCATTTCAAGCAATAAAAAACTGGACGTGGCAGTACGCAGTTGTCATCCCTGCTAGGTGGGAAGCGTAAACAGGAGGATTACCATCCAGGCTGGCCCAGGCATTAAAGCAAGACCCTATTTCAAAAATAACCAAAGCAAAAAGGGCCAGTGGCTCAAGTGTAAAGTGCAAAGTGCTGCACAAGTCTCTGGGATTCAAATCCTAGTACCATAAAAAACAAAAATGAAAAAAAATTAAGGAAAGGCAGTGAACTGTCCTTGGCTTGAGCATTTTTAAGAAGGAATGGAACAGAAAGTACAGTGGGACAATAGCAAGTACCTAAATGTACCCACAGGGATACTTCTGTAGTTGATAGAGGGAGATATTATTCTGTGTAAAAATCTTTAAAAATCAGAAGTCTCAGAAGGGAAAGAGATTTTGTCCTTTTAAAGAAATTAATTCAGCATTAAACTCAAGAATAGAATTGTCCAGAAATTACCCCAAAGTAGCATGATGAAGAAGATGCTGACTTAAGAAGTGAAAATCTTGAGTACCTGGCAGGGACTGTGTAATTCTTTAAATGTAATTCTTTTAATTCTAAAACAGACTGTGTACTGAAGATTGCTTGTGATTGCTTCATCTGATTGTACTCATAAGCTTTATATGTACTAAACAGTAGCTTCTGGGGACAAGGCAAGTAAAGATACTACTGCACATAAAGAAAAAACAGAAAACAGGTATGAGGTAGGACTCAGGACACAGTGTTTATCTAAACACTCTTGTTTTGCTTTTTTACCTTTGATTGATGATAAAAGTAAAGCAGACCTAACAATGAAGAGTATAAGGAATGTGGATAGAGAGGGCACCCCATCTTATCTGTCCCTTACACCAAAGAGACATGCTAGATTTGACCTGTCAGGGGGAAGTTGTTTTTTTAATCTACCTACTAATTTTGACAGCTGGTAGAATTAGATAGTGTCAGTCTTCTACTCTTAAAGGAGTTAATAGTATCTTGCAATATATAATTTAAGAAATTAATCATGTAATTACTTTATCAGAATTCCATTCTATAGAAAGATTTTCCTCATGGAGACTTTGTGGGGAATACTAAACTAATTTAGCAACTTTTCTAGAAACATTAGATAAACCATTATTACACTTTTGTAGTCACTTTCATCATCTTAGCACTCACACAGTACTTTCAAATTTTCAGAGAGTATTTATACTTACTAGATTTAGAAATCCCCTTAAATCTTTCAAAGTTTTAAAAAAAATGAATATTGGTCATAGGTAGTGAAATGAGAGTAGATTTTAAAGGAAGAACAACTTTTTACTATGTAGCTTGGTCCTAACAAAAATGTAGCTTAGAAAAAAGTTAGTATTTGGATTTTATAATACATTATGAACATTACAATACATTATGAAAATCTTTTATCAAGTGTTTAATTTTATCTTAAATTTTAGTTTTAAGAGATGTAATTTCTTCTTCCATGGCATTTTTATTGTATCTTCAAGCCAAATTCTTTTCAGTGGTAATGCATCTCCAATTTTTTAAAATTAGAGGTTGGAGAAAGAATAGAATTTGACTTATATAATTTGCTTTCTGGAGCTCACTTTTATGGTCATTTTTAAGATGATTTCCTGAATTCTTAGTAGCAGATAATTTCTAAAAATGATCAACATTTTTTATATGTAATATGTAAATATAGAGGTTTAAAACACTTGGGAAAAGAAAATGGGAAGGGTGGGAACAAGTAATAAGATTTTGGTAATATTCTAGAATCTCATTTTCCTTTATTAAAAGCCATTATTACATCATTCCTATAATAGTAATTAATTTATACCTACTGAATTTTAAGGTAGTTTCCAAGGAAGCATTCTGCATAAAATTTTCTTTAGTAACAGAAACATTTCTTTTCCTTCCCACCTCCATTTCTCCTGCCTTCCTTCTATTCCTCCCTTCCTTTCTTCCCCAACCCTCCCTTTTTTCCTTCCTTCTGTGTTGGGGATTGAACCCAGAAATTCTGGGTTCAATCCACAGGGCCAAAAGCCAAATGTTACACACTTGCATGTGTAAATTCAAATACTCTTAAAATATATTATGGTATTGTAGTTACCTTTCATCTATATAATTGAATGTATTATGATAAATTACTGTTAAAAAGAAGTAATAGAGGCATAATAAAGTCCAATACTATGTAATCCCATTGACAAATAGACTAAAATGTTAATACTTGGATGATGCATGTTTTTTGTCTATATGTAATTTTCAAATATCTATTATATTAATTTATTCAGGAAAGTTACTTTAAAAGTTACTATTTTTTCACCTTTCAGTGAGCTCTGATTTCTCTTCTGAAATTGAAAGGTAAAAAATTTAGAAAAATGAAATTTTAATTTTGAGGTGGCAATGTATCTTTCTTCAACTATGTTACATTCATAGACATTTAGCATTTTTTCATGAAAGGCATCTTTTTTTTATATGTGTACATACTGAGAGATACTAATACACTAAATAATTTTAAGCCATTGGATATTTTATTTTTAATTACTTTATTAGGTATAATTGACATACAAAAAGCTATAGATATAAAATGTTTATAACTTGATGTGTTTGGAAATAAGTATACAAGCCATGAAACTATCCTCATAATCAATGCTATAAACTTACCTGTCACCTCCTATCCCATTTTGTGCTTTTGACTTTTATTTTTGCAGTAAAACTACTTAAGATATACTCTCTCAGAAAAGTTTTAAATATATAAAACAGTATTATTAACCACGTACCCTTTGTTGCACATAGAGTAGATCTCCAGAACTTATTAACATTAGATGATTGAAACTTTGTGTCCCTTGACCACCACCTCACAATTTCTCCCTCTCTTCAATACCTGGCAACTACTTTTGAGTTTGACTTTTTTAGATGCCTCATATAACTGAGATTGTGTAACAGCATTTGTTCTTCTGTATTGGCTGATTTCATTTAAAGATACCCTACAGATTTATCTATGTTATTGCAAATGGCAGAATTTCCTTTCTTGTTTAAGGCTGAATACTATTCTATTATGAATATATACATTATATCTTCTTTATCCATTGATAGATACTCAGGTAGATTCTATATCTTGGTGATTATGAATAATGCTGGGATGTATGTGGAAATAGATATTCCTTGAAGATTCAGTTTCTTTGGATATATACCTAATGTGATACTTCTGGATCAACTGGTAAATCTATTTTTAATGTTTTGAGGAACCTCCATACTGTCTTCCATGATGGTTGCCTCAACTTATAGTCCCACTGCTGGGGGCATGGTACAAGAAGAGTGCCTGCCTCATAAGACAAAGGCCCTGAGTTCAAACAGCAGTACAGCCAAAAAAAAAAAAGTTTCCCATGAATAGTGTACAAGGGTTCTCTCTTTCTCTATATCTTGCCAAAACCTGACCTTCATTGTATAATTTTTAATAACTTTTTTGTAATTATTAGTCCAAAGTCATTTTTGGCTTTTGATATTTAGTTGTATGTTTTTTTCTGATCATTGCATGTGGAAGTATGGATGGATGTTTGTCACTTTATTATTTTACTTGTCAAATTTTTATAGATGCAATGTTTATTAATATCCTTTTCCTCAAAAACTTACTCTGTGCATACTTATGAGAAAGGAGAAAATATTTTGGATGTGTGAAATCTTAATCTTATTGTATTTATACTTTGAAATATAGAAAGTTAAATGTTTGGCATCTGTATACAATGTTAAATGTAAAATAAAAATACATTTATATATAAACAGTTAAATAGTGTGTAGGGATGCACTTTTGAATGACAAAGCTATGAAATTCACAAGGAAATGACTACAAGTCAGGATAAGGTTAATTTTGGTAGGTGGGAAGAAGTTGTGATTGAATGGCCTCATTGAAGGGGATTCTGAGATGGGTGGCAAAGTTCCATTTTCCTTGACTATGGTGGTAGTGACCAGTGTGTTTACTATATAATATTTCATAATATCAGAAACATACTTTGTGTGGTTTTCCATATTTTTTTTTACTTTAAAGCATAGTTAAGGTAATTAACTTCAGAAAAATAATATACAGAGTTATTTTAATGTATTTCCAGCCATTGTTATAGTCCATCTTTGAAAACTGGTGGTAGAAAATTTAGGAATGATTTCCAAAGAAATCCAAGTGTGTTTCTTCTCTGCTATGACACATATTATGAATATGTCCACCTGTTGATTTTCTAGAGGAGAATGGAAAATCAGATCAGAAACATATTTTACAAGAGAAGACAGAAATTTTACTATAGAATGATCATATTGCTACATGGTTGGGAAAGAGCTAGCTAGTAGTATGGTCCTGACTTAAAACCAGGTTCATCTGAGTTATGAAGTTATATATTATTATTGAAAACAAAAACATCAAAAAATACATGTTAACTTGTGAAGTTTATTGAACCAGATTTTGTTTTCTTCCATTAGTGTGTGTTTTATTTTACTCTGAAATTATAAGCATTGCTATTACCTGGAGTTAATTTTTTCTTGACTTTTTTCTGCTATTATTAACATAGAATTGTTTTATTTGACTACTCATTGTGTCAATATATACTACTAAGCTTTTAAGAAAAAATAAATATGGTGACTGTAATTTTAGTCTTTTGGTGTGAATGGAAGATTGCTTCACTGCCTTAAAGCAAAGATAGATCAGAACCATATTACTACTTTAGTGTGATGATAGTGAAATCGCATTATTACAGTGAGTTCTTTGAGAGCAGAGAATTAGATTCCTTCTTCCTCAGAGTTTGTCAAATAACAGGTGTTCACTAAGTATTAATAGAGTGTAGAAGTGCATTAGTTGGGAAACTAGGAATGTTTAAAATCACTTAAATGTTCAGGTAAAATAATAAGCCTACATAATAATTGCTGATAGATAATAAGCAGCTGACTTAAATTCTTGCCTAAGACAGTGAAACCTCTAGAAATATGCTACTGGTTTGTAGAAGTAAGTTGTATTTTGTAAATGGCATATTGTGCTATGCAAATAAAATAATAGGAGATGGACATTCTCAGAGATAGTTCATGAAGAATTATACAGAAAATCATGTACAGGCATACCTTATAGATATTGTAGATTTGGTTCTAGAATATCACAATAAAGCAAATCTCCAGATTATGTGAGCCACACAAACTTGGTTTCCCAGTGCATATAAAAGTTATGTTTAGTCAGGCATTCTGGTGCACACCTATAATCTTAGCACTTGGGAGGCCGAGGAAGGAGGATCATGAGTTTGAGGCCAGCCTGGGCTACATGGCAAGACCCTGTCTCAAAGAAAACAAAAAAGGTTATTTTTTACACTATACTATAATCTACTGAATGTGCAATAGCATTATGTCTGAAAATGTATATAACTCAACTGAAGAAATCTTTCCTGCTAAAAATGCTAATGATATCTGAGCTATTGGAAAAATGGCACCAATAAACTTGCTCAATGCAGGGTTGCCACAAGTCTTCAATTTGTAAAAACACAGCATCTTTGAAGTGCCATGTACTGAAGCACAATAAAGGGAGGGATATCTATGTCATTGTAAGAAACTATGTCTGTAGAAACTACCCCAAAGAGTTAGGTGCTCCCTTTGCTAATGAATCTTAGAACTTCTCCTGTATGTACCTTGCATCATCATTTCTGTATATTAGATGTGATTTATACATGTCCTTAATGTCCCTGAATATTAGATTTTTATAATGGAATGTTCTTATGATAACTTCTGAGCTTTATCAGGAAATAGACTTTGTCTTATTTATCTCCTCCCTCCCCATACCCAGCAAGATGCTTGATTCAAATATATATTTGGTGCATATGTAAATTAATGATTAAAGAAAATATTATTGAACAAACATTTACCTGTTCTTATTTTAACAAGCGGATATGTACTTATTTTGGTGACTGACAGTGCAGTCTGTGATCAGAAGACTTCCAGAGTCCTTGTGTCCCATAGGAAAGAGTCCATGGCAGGTCATGTGGGTATAAATGGAGTTTGTTAAAAGTTAGGGAAGGGAAACAGGTGGAAGCAAGGAAGCAGAGAGAGCATGCTTCTCTTCTCCAAGTGCTATTAAAACTTACGATAATCTATGAGAAGGGAGGAACCAAGTAATTCCCATCTACTAATTAATGAGTAGGGAGGGGTTTAGGTGGTTCCTGGGCCAGGTGAGGGCAGTCCCTGAGCCAAAGCATGGTCAATCTGAAATGCAATATTAAGTCATATATTTTCTTATGAGTCTTGAAATTTTCCTAATTTTAGCCTGCCTCATTTTTCCCCTGAGAGAAAAGATCCCCCAAAAATCTTTGTGAGGTTGCTGAGTGGATAAAGTTCTCTTTTCTTCTGAATCTGCTTTGAACTGACAAGGGGCAGCAGACTCTATCTGCAAGGGGGAAATTGTCTCTCCTACTTCTTTCCCTTTGGACTCATTTGGACACAGTGTCTGAATTATTGTCCAGGACAGTCAAGGTTTCCCATGGAGATCTAGGTTGTTTAT